ATTTTCGGACACGCGCAGTAATAGACACCAGCTTATATTTTCGGACAGAGGAAGTATAATTTAGATACGGGCAGCTTTGCCGCAAATAAGATATATAAATACAGTTTTACTCTTGGAGTAAGTGGATTGCGATCCGCCACACTCGTACTGGTTCTTAGTATAAACCGAAGGTCACCGACCTTAACCAAGCTTCCTTTGAGCAAGAGCTACGACAGCCCCGCTGCACTTGGTAGCACAAATCTACACCTGAGTCGAAGATGAAGCAGATTTCATTCTTGCCTCAGGGCATACAGAACGGGCTTGAAAGCCAAAAAATCCGGATGACCAAGCAAAGCTCACTAAATATCTTGATGTCTGAGTGGCCCAGTATGATACGGCATTGTTCATCATCTGCTCGAATTATGCAAGGAGGATTTTCAACAAGCCCGGGTATGACAATGTATTCAGTTGCGGCACCTATTAAAACGACCACATAGCCGGCCTACCGTCGCGGATACCTGTGGTAGAGATCGGCAGACTCGAGGTGACAATGCTTGCTTAGTCATCGCTCCGTTGTCCTTTCATAACCGCATTTATCAAGCCCAGACTTGTAATTATACTTGGAGCTCCGATGTTGCGCAAAAAAGTGATGATCAGTGAAGTTGAGATACATATCAATCGAATACAAAGGCACGTTCAAGACCACTTGGTGTTCTCATTAAATGTTCAGCCGTCAGAGAGTGGTGGTGCCATCATGGCTGTTGATCTACATCGACGGCGTGTGAATGAGGGGGGGTATATACTGCAGTCGAGAACTGGTTGTACGACGATGCGATCCAAAGAGCCAAGGTAAATCGCTGACATTAGTTCCGCAATTTACACCTCTATTGTCAACCAAAACGGAGCGTAAGAACTGATTCTTCTGTCCAGCCTCAGAGATGACAGCCTAACCAAGCGCTACAGGCTGTTCTACCCTTAAACCATCATCGCACTTTCCAAAAGTACGATGTCATCGTGGGTTGCGCAGTCGCATCTATTCAATTCGTTCACCATATTTGCCGCGCATAGATTTTTCTCGGCAGTCCTGTGAAAGATATGTCCGTAATATCTGAGTAAGTCATGGGTCGACTGCGAAATTTGAAGTAGAAAAGACGTGCTTTTCCCCTCGTCAAAGTCCAGCAGTAATGAAGGTTTAATGCTAGCTCCTAGCTCCAAAGATGAGCTAGACACGTGGCATTGCTATATGCGATGCTAGTGGTGGTCTCACGCCTCACGTATAGGCTGGCGTCATCATCAACTACTCGCATTTCAAGGTCAACTCGCACGCAGAAATTAACGTGTGGAAGGAGAGTGACCAAGTGGATACATGAAGCGGATTTTTTGGGCCGCCATTAGTCAAGACAGTGTGTGGATTGGTGCGCCGTACGCGAATAGAAACAAAAGTAATATCATGTTCAACTTGATCATAGGCGCCGACCCAGCCCCAAGGACTAGCTCACTGCTATTCACAGCCTTGATGATGGCTTGTTTAAAAAGCGCTACGACCAGGAATCGAGTTGTGGTGCTCTTCAACATGGTGGAGCTCGATCAGATAAATGATTAGACTAGTCCACCGTGAACACAGAGAAAGCCTGCTTACGTCTTCCGGGGTCTCGCTTCACCCCTCTGTATGCCCTCGGGGACTAAATTCGCACTCACAATGCTTACAATCACTGCCACCACTATAAAATTCTGGATAAATTAGTGCGTCCAAGTCAAGATTAGATTATCAAGTCACCATGTTTAGCTAATTGAACATCATCCAGCTTAAATCTTGTCTTCAATTAGTCTACATAATAGCAGTCACACAATTTTGTGCTATCTTAAATACATACGCTCATTTATCTTGTAAAACAACAGCCTCTGTTGAAGTGTCATGGCGGACGTCAGTGCGCTAGGATTACCGCTCAATGACGGGACATCTGGTACGTCCCTCTGCACGTTATACTACGATCTTTGTTATCTTGACCTGTGCGTTAGTTTTCTCATGAATTTATGCCATATGCCTATCATATCAAACGTCAGTAGCACCGCTGATCCGTCTTGAGTTTCGGTACCGCCAAGTAGATATAGTGCTGGTGCTCGCTTATGGTGGTGCCTGCTTCTTTTCATTCTGGGCTTTAGCTATGCACGCACAATCACCTACGCGTCAAGCCGCTACACTCGGTTTCTACCTGCTCATGGGTCTGGCCTCGCTGACTCGCGTCTTGTGGTTCGCCACACCTTTTGGTGTACATTCGGTTTTAGTGGAGCCACCACGGATTATGATGGGGGACAATGGATGGGCGCAATTTTTATTAGCTGAAGCAGTGGAATTACTGGGGTCATATCTTCTTTACAGTGTCTTTGTGCTTATTGTCGTCTTTTGGGCAGATATGCTACGTCGCCTCTTCACACACGAGAGTGTGAGATCTCACCCACTACGCGTCTTTTTCTCTCTATTGGGTGCAATATTGGCGATTCAAACGATGGGGTTTGCAGTCTTTGCTGCAAAGAAAGAAGACTCTTACTGGCTTCTAGTCTACGATGACGTTGTCATGTGTCTCTTGTCAGTTGGTTCGCTTGCGGCAGTACTCGTGTATTCATTTCGAATGAAAACTGTGCTCCAAGCTTTTCTGGAAGTTAGCCAGATTGATACCACCGACAGGATCAGGGCAGTGAATTGGGCTACATTTATTTGCACATTCTTTCTCATTGCCAACAGTATCTTTTTAACGTATTCAATCGTGAGTCTTGCGCATTTTCATCAAGCAGGAGTATACCTCAAGTCAACGTGGTGGTGGCTTTTTGTGGCTTTAAAGCATCTTGTTGAAATCTTCGTATTGTACTTCTTACTTTATACTTTATGGGGAAAGAGTTCGGACGATGCAGAGAATTCGAAGGACGAATATGAACAGATTCCAGATGGAAGCTACCTCGGTGACGACGACTTCAATAGTATTCATGCGTCAGGCTCGTTGCCTAATACACCCAAGCGTCTTCGCTAGTAGGCAAAGGAATCAAAGTGTTCCGCCAGTATTTGTAAACGTGGATTCGTAAACGCAGAGATGATTAAGAAAGTTTGCAGTATACATATCTTGTTTGGCACGAAATGTTACCTTCTAGTTGTCAGTTAAATCGTCGTTCAAATTTACTCCTAGTTCCTTAGCGACTTGTAGCATGTCCTTGTCTCCACGACCACTAATATTGATGACCACAACCTGGTCAGGTGACAGTGTGGAGGCAAGATGTACACCAAAGTGCACAGCGTGTGCGCTTTCAAGTGCCGGAATGATACCTTCGTGAAGAGAAATGAGCTGAAAAGCTTCGAGCGCTTCCTTATCCGTTACACTAACGTACTGAGCGCGGCCAGAGTCTTTCAAAAACGCGTGCTCTGGACCAACACCAGCGTAATCTAGCCCAGCGGAGACAGAGTGAGTCTCCACAACCTGACCTGCTGCATCTTGCATTATATATGTCTTGGTGCCGTGAAGAACACCCGGGCGACCACCTAATAGCGTCGAGGAGTGACGAGGAGTGTCGACACCGTCTCCACCAGCTTCAACTCCGTAGATAGCGACCCCATTGTCTTTAACGAAAGGGTGGAACATACCAATGGCATTACTTCCACCCCCGACACAGGCCACAATAGCATCTGGTAGACGGCCAATCTCTTCCTGCAATTGTCTTTTGATTTCACGGCCAATGATCGCTTGAAAGTCGCGCACAATAGTCGGGAACGGGTGTGGACCAATGGCCGAGCCGATAATATAGTGTGTATCGTTAACATTGGTCACCCAGTCGCGAATAGCGTCATTTACAGCATCCTTAAGCGTCTGAGAGCCGCTTTTAACAGCAATGACTTTAGCCCCCAGCATTTTCATGCGAAAAACATTTAGCGACTGACGTTGTGTGTCTACATATCCCATGTAAATGACACATTCTAACCCTAATAACGCGCAGGCTGTAGCTGTGGCCACACCGTGCTGACCAGCACCAGTTTCCGCAATAATGCGACTCTTACCCAAACGCTTCGCAAGTACTGCCTGGCCCAGCGCGTTGTTGATCTTGTGTGCGCCAGTGTGTGCCAAATCCTCACGCTTAAGCCAAATCTGTGCGCCATTAGCATGATCTGTGAGGCGCTTCGCATGATACAATGGAGTAGGACGGCCAATGTAATCACGGCCTAAATGTTCCAACTCCTCGCGAAAAGAAGGGTCCTGGGTGGCTTTAACATATGCATCAATAAGGTCATGGTGTGCCTGAATAAGCGTTTCGGCTACAAAGCAGCCGCCGAATTGACCAAAGTAAGCGTTCAATTCGTCTGTTGACGTATACACGGGCGGTGCATTCGACACGTCAAGATATCTCTTATAAGTAAGTGAAGCCTCACGATTGACGTCCATGGTTTTAAGTTTGCAGATTGGAAAGTGAGCGAATGCGGATATTGTGGTGGATGGCGTCACCGGAGAGTAGCATCAACACACGTTACAGATTGCATAAATGCTGATGCTCATTCGTACACATATTGATACAAATTAAAGTGGTGGACATTACCATTAAGAAATTAGGAAGTTGACAGTAGATGTATGAGGGATTGATTATTCATATAATAAGTTCTCCCACCCGTTCTGTAAGTAAAACTAGAGACGAAGTTGATATTGACCTGCACGAGTAACGTAGCGAACCCATTTAGTCGTCGGATATGAACTTTTCTCAAATACCTTAAGAAAACGGACGTGCAGTCCCGACGAAGTGAACATTGGCACTTGAAATTCAATCTGAAGTGGCGGACGTGACCAGAGCTTTTCTTTTGTACCCTTTAACATTTCAATTTCAGCATCCAGCATCCGCTCCAGTTTGCCTTGAAATTTACGAATACGCCACACGATCGCATGATTTTCAGGTTCGTGTTTTGCCCTACCAATAGGAACATTGATCCGAGCTCGAGCAGTATTTGGTGGTGTCTAGAATAGTGCAAGAGAGTCAAAACCAATTAACAACTGTCCAAACGACATTTAACCTAAAGTACCGGAATTTTGATGACGACATTGGTAGCAAACAGACGTGGACTAAATAGTGAGGCCAATTTGAGCGTAATAGATAGACGTGTGGTTCCTTGCTCTTGATAGGCTGGCATGATCTTAAAAGGAAGATTGATATTCTCAGTAACTCGATACTTCATCAACTCAAACTCTCCATCCGGAGGAATGAATGTGATGGTACGATCAGCATCGAACTTGCCAAGACGCACGCAACGATGAAAAGTGCAATCGTCGATTTCAACCTCGCGAGTGCCACGTTTCTGGCCTGCCACCTTTGCTGCTGGAGTATCACCCTTCTGCATTGTGAGTTTGTCATTAAGTCCAAGTTTACACTCAGGCATGCCCGTAAGAAGAGTCTTCATTACAACCTGTCCGGCCACTTCATTGCGTAGTACTGTGCCATTTGAGGACATCAACAAGTTCACGCTTTCAAAGACGTCCAGATAAACCTCATTTCTTTTGTAGCGTATTCCTTCGCGACGCCAATCAATGGCACCTGTAATCTGAGATGTCAATTGCGAAGGTGGAGCGCCTCCAGGATTCTCAGGTGTCTGCAAATCAAACAGCCATTAACTCGAATTGAATTAAATAAGTTAAATTCGATAAGTCGTACAGAAAGAGAAGAGCCCAGATTGATAAAAAGCTTCAAAACATCACTAGAGCAATTCTGCGGGTATCCATGGTCCATTGTCTCATCTAGCAGCTCGTACACAAGTGTGAAGTTGTCTCGAAGAGTGTCTTCGCTATACTTTTTGCCAAAATATTCCTTGAAGATTAGATTCAATTGGTAAAGGAATTGAAACACCAATGCGGCATTTATATTAGCACGTGAGACTGCCACCAAGTACAGATTTTCGTGGCGGGTGTATAGAAATGAGCATCCGTCAATTATTTTGACCGGAGGTAATGTGCCCGTCTCTTTGGCCGCAATCACCTGAAGACGAAAATTGTCTGCTGCACGTCGACTCACATCGTCTCGATAAAAACGATTAAGCACAACTTCACCCTTTTGACTGATAAGAAATAACGCGCTTATCATGATTTGATTATCTGTGTCTGCTAGATGATGAAATGGATTGAAGGCTTATCTGCTTCACTACGCGCTTCCAGGAGTGGAGCGACTAGTCACAGAACAAAATTGTCTTTGAGCTTGTAACGACCGCTATAAAGTCCGTCGCTTCGCATTGCACGAGATGACATTTGTGCATCTTGCGTGTATTTATACATTTCATTGGAGAAAGACTCGAGCTACAAGGCCTCCATTTTCGATTTTGACCAAAAATACTTCAAACCTGGTATATTTTTCGATAAACGAACGATCAGTTTACTACGTTATTGCTAGAAAATATACTTTTCAGGTGTTCGTGCTCCAACTTGAGTTCTGCTGAATTTGCTGCATCAACGTATTCTTTTCCAAATCAAAACTTTGAGAGAATTGATAATGAAAAAAGCCTAATCGTCTTTATTGAGCTTGAAGTTTTTATTATCCTTTTGCGACTCCTGCCACTTGTAGTATCGACTTATGCGGTCCATCTCCCCGCCTTTCCAGTCTCGCCATATTAAACCAACACCAATTCCCAGCGTAATACCAATCATTATGTCTTTAACAGGAGATTTCATCACTGTTTCTTGAATTGAAAGAATCTAACGGTCGGTTCTAGGTGCTCAAATTTTAAGCTTGCCATTCTGATAACTTCGCTCCAGAAATATATCAAGTTTCCCCAATTTATTCAGTGTATTTATTTTTCAATTCTATTTAAATACATACTATACAATTTGAAGGATGTCAGATGTTTACATAGGCTAATTTGAATTTATATTATTTTTGGGTAAAGAAGATTTGTAAAATCTTCAAAAGCGACAATTACTAAGAAAATGAAAAAACTATAAATTAAATCCGAGCCTGACACTATAGGGTACGATTTTAGTGCTCATTTTTTTAATGCACAAAATTAATATAATCTAAGTATGAAGAACAGAGGTAAATCTATAGCTCGTGTTCATGCACTGATTCCTCTCCATCCGATTTATCAACACCACAATCTGTATCTGACACACTGACGAATTCTTCAAGTTCGAAGTGTGGCTGTGGTGGAAATGGCCAGACACACGTCCATTTCTTTGGCTTAATGAAGACGATGTTTTCGATTGCAACCCCTTGGTTAGCTAATATAGAGCAGAGGGCCTCAAGATTCTCAAGTCGTGGTTTAAAGTGGCCACTATGAGGTTCAACAGCGATAATGATACCGTTTTCGATTGTAATTTTGCCAGCTGCAAAGATTGGTGCGCCCGAGACAAAGCTTGAATGGTGGAAATGACCTTTGCGCTTCCGGCCAAGATACATAGAACCCGAGAGATCAATCACGAAAATCCACTTGCTGCGTTTGTCCGTATGGACAACACATCCTGATACTGCATATCGCACTCTTACCACATGGTCCTCTTCATTTACGAAGAAATTCAGCAAGTAGTTTTTGCGCTGTTCGGCATTACAGTATTCTACTCGCGTCGTACGAAGTCCATGCTGAGTGCATTCAGGCAGATTCACGTTCCTACCGTTGCCATGGTCGAGCCAATAAAAAAACGACGTGTCCTTACTATCAGAAGTCCTCGCTGCCATTTCGTGCTTCCAAGCCTTGTGAAAAGCTCGTAAGTGAAATCCATAGCGATGTTGATTGTCCAGCGCTTCCAACCAAAAGTCTTTATGAAGAATCGAAGCACAACACATGAGCCTCTCACCCTTTTCCTGGATGTTGCGCTGTCTACTGCGCTTCAAACCGCGCGTAAGCTGTCCCATACAAACACGAAGGTGTCTCCAGCGGGCAAGTGCATTAGATGATGTGCTAAAACACGTCTTTTCTGTATGTCGTACGAGCTCAATCATTGTCGGCGAGACGTCACACATCAGACGCAGCTCTCGATTCACGTCAACTAACATTGCAACTGAGGGCAGCAGCTGACGAACGAACGTGTAGAGTTCCGGTCTTGAAAATCGGCTCTATCGACGATGAGAGGAGGAAATGGTAGCTTGGTAGTCAGACTACTAGCGTATCCATGACCCACTATAAATCGTACATCTAAATTGAAAAAAAATATGATGTTTGGTGGGTGTCGCCCCTCCTTCCTCTTGTTAGGTATAGGTGATGGGTTAAAAATCCACCGACTGTCGTTACCAGGAAAACTCCTGCATTACTTGTATCAAAACTGTATAAGGTATTGTGTAACCATCATCTTATCCTTCTCTCTTTTACGTAACCAAGTGATATACTAACTTTTAAGTCTATAAAAACGAGCTTTTTGGGTAGGGATGATTTTGCACAATTGGTCACCACAGCCTTTACTTGCTTATGATCAAATGAATTGCACAAAGTCACCGAACGAGGACAATAAATAAATTATGGGCGTGAAGACAAGACAATAAGAGACAGAGCCGATCCAAAAGTACTTTAGAGGATCAGAGTCGCAAGTTTTTGACTTTGTACAGTTGTAAATTATAAAGTTTTCGCAAAAGGAAGTACATTGTTAAAGAAAAGGGAAACTTTCTTGTATAATTCGAGCAATACGTGAGCAAGATCTGGATGATCTGTAGAAAGATTTTCAGAAATGGACTTTTTGTCTCTTTGAAAGCCGTTCGGTCTACATACTAGTCAAGTTAACACCATTTTTAACATTGGATTACGACAGCAATTTGACAATTTGATGCAGATTATGGTGACGTTTATCATAAGATGCTGCGGCTTCTTTGCTCGCATATTCGTCACCCAAATAATAAAGTAGACTGATCCACTAAAATAACGAAATTTTCTGTGACGGCTCCAATAACGTCAAAAGATTTCTCAACTAACTTTTAAGTTTATCTGCATATTATTCCAACGACGCGCACAACCAGGTTTAGCTCCCTGTTTGGTTGGACTATCATTGCAACGTCGAATTTACCATCGGGTCATGTCTTTGACCTCTTTTCAGTGTGTGTATTACATTGTCATTTCTATTGATCATCAAATTCAAAGATACCTGTATCACCAGAATCCGACATATTGCCGTACGATTCACGACGCTCTGCTCGTCGCCTCTGGTCTATTGGCATTTGCGATAGAAATCTTGGTGTTTGATAGCATTTATCCTGATCTTCGCTTTGTCCTTCTTCGGATGTGATGCTGAGTCGTTCCAAAAGCTCAGCACTCACTGCGTTGCCAGAGGACTCATCCGACGCATAATAGTGTCGTGAAGGCTGTAATCTGACAGTATTGTGTGCATGCAAAGATCTGAAAGCTGTATCAGTGTCTGCCTGCTGTGTATTTCTCAGATCAACTCCGTTACGTGACATACTGTCTCTTAATGCCGACATGGCAGCTAGTGCAGGACTTTTTGACAAATCAAAATCATCATGTTCAGCCAAATACGGCTCAAGTGTCGGCGTCCACGAACTTCTTGTTTGTAAAAACTCAAGTTTATCCGGACATGAGCTTGCAAACTGCATTCAACCCATTAGAAATGACAATAAAACCCAATAGAAACAACACTAGCGTACTGGAATGACTGCAGGTGTACGAGCTGGTGGTGTCGTGTCGGGAATAATATCAGCGGGTGGACCTAATGCCAAATCTGGCATACTTTCTAATTGTAGAAAGTGTGGTTCGGGCATTGAACCTACAAATGGGGCTCGAGGTGGTTGTAAACCGCCCGATCTTGTGTCATCCGTCCTCGTCATGAAGCGCGATAGATGAACATGATGCATGTCGACAGGAAGTGAATGAGACACAATTGCATGACTGTTATTAGGATTCGGTGTGATAGGGGAATTGCGCTGGCTGCCACTGGCTCCAATGGGAATTGGCCGCGTTGAGGACATGAACCGCTTAAGTGGCAATAGTGATGCAAATGGACTGAATGACTGACTTAAGAGTATATCGGTGACGTATACTTTTATGTACTTCAAATACCGGTTTATCAGGTTATCAAAATAGTATCATGTCAATATCACAAATATGCACCGACCAGACCTTCTTGGCGCGTATAGTCAAGTAGAAACCCCCCAACGGGTAATAGACGAACAAAATGTGCATCATGAAGTGCGTACATTATCGTGTCTATCTGAATCGTCTTTTCATAGTTCATCTTCATGTCTTTGTGATGAAGAATCGTCACAAACACCTTGTGAGATCGAATTATTATCAACTCGAGATTCGGCGAGTTGGCAAGCTCACATGGATCCAAGTGTAGATTTAAAATTACTGACAAATCATTTTCGAGATGAACGAATGGAAGAATCGTATCAACTTTATTCTTCAACTGTTGATTTTCCAGTGGCACGAAGACTGATGTTAGCCCTTGTGGCTTTTGAAGGAGCAGCGTATTTCTTACTTCATAAATCGAGAAATACATGCATTGCTCCATCAGGAAATGATTACGATTGGGTACAACTTTTTGCCTCTTTGTTAAATGAAGAACCTTTAATAGCTTATGAGGATAACGAGGGAAAGTGTGTGACATTGACTGAAGGTACGTCGAAAGATGTTGGACTTACATGGTTACTTTGGAGTTTTGCACCGTTTGCAGTAATTTATGGTTTATCACCAATAAAATACTTTGAAGGTACGATGAGGTTACGAATTGGAGTGTATTACATTCGACGTCATTGGAAAGTTCTAGCGTCGTTAATAATTTTGTGCTGGTTCGTTGGACTCGCAGTTTTTATTCATCATGAATTGGTTCAATTTCGTATTAACTTACAACGGAGTTTAGCACATGGAATGGTATGTACAGTGGATACACGCATGCCAATATCCTGGTACGACACGTCAAATTGGGGCGAAGGTCAAATGACTTTATTATCATGGTTACAATTATACGTGAGTAAACTCGCATACTCACTTTTAATGGGAGTACTGGCAGTCTTAGCTGCATTTGCTGGTATCGTTGCAGTAGCAATGAAATTGGATTTTACTCATGTCTTACTATTAGCTGTAGCAGCATGGACTACGACACTTTTACTTTGTTTTGTGGGAGCAACACCATTAATCTCGTCTAGTCAACGTGTAATGAGTAATGAAGCCTTTCTTTTCTTCCTATGTGTCTTCTTACCAACGTGTTTTACACTGACGGCTACATATTCAGAAGATCGTGCAGCACGTATGGCATACGCTTCAAAAGTACGTGCTGAGCGGATCAACACGACATTAAAGTTAGACCTGTCGGTGAAACAGATTGGATTGGAAAATTGTAACGCGATGACACGAGATGAAGAAATTCTATTGGAACGAGCGTTGAGTGCAAGTGGTGACATGGAATTGATTCGTACTGTTGCAATTCCATTTGCTGATCTGAAGTTGAAAAAAATTATAGCCAAGACACCAAATGGAGAGGTACTTGTGGGTGAATATCACCAAACAGAAGTCGTTGTTAAACGATTAGCACAGTCATGTCTTACAGTCGAAGGACTTGCTGCATTTAAAAGTAATGTGGAATTACTAGCATGTCTTCGACATCCAAATATTGTTTTATTTATTGGAGCAACGTTTGACAATTTATCAAATGTTGGATTTGTGATGGAGTATCTCGAGCGTGGTGACGTTTTGTCGTTACTGCGTAGTTCAATTGCATTAGCATGGAGTGATCCACTACTTAAGATTGCTACTGATGTGGCACAAGGTGTTTCATATCTTCACAATTGCGACCCACCACTTGTACATCGTGACCTCAAGTCATCCAATTTATTATGTACGCACACCTATTCGTGCAAAGTGTCAGATTTTGGTGAATCGAAACAGCAATTACTACCTGGTAGATTATTTAGTACCATCGTAGGGACACCATATTGGCTGGCACCTGAGATTCTCCGTGAAGAACGTTATGATACACAAGTGGATTGTTATAGCTTTGGAGTTATTCTTGTCGAGCTCGAGACACGACGTGAACCATATCATGACGTACCAAAGGATTTTACCACAATTGATATTATGATGGGAGTATCACGCGGTAATTTACGACCAACAATTCCACCATCCTGTTTGCCTAATCGGCGTGAACTTATCATGCGCTGCTTAAATGTTGATCCAAAGTGTCGACCAAAGATGACGGAAATTCTGTATGCCCTACAGCATGACGTACGTCAAGAACTTTTAGATCAAAATTCGACTGATATCGTTAGTGACAAACGCCGGATGGTGCTTATGCAGCAACACCAACGCCTCAATCGTCGTGGGTTACAAGACCTAATGCGTGTTCATAATAATGACTAAGTCATGTCAATGCTTTTACGGAGCAGATTGAGGATTGGAAATTTGTGAAATATTTAATTTCCAAGGTGTCGTAATATATTCGTCGTTACGTAAGTAACAGGTATATAACCCTGCAAGTTATACTCTCAGCATGTTGGTTGTCGCTGCTGTCGTGATTCTAAAGATCGAACTTTATATTGTTGGTACAACGTGGTGTTGTTCACGTTGTCGTTACAATTTACTTTTGACCGTAAGCTTGTAAGAAGGCCGTCCGATTGTTACACTGTTTACAGATAGTAACTAGTACGTAACCGATTTGGTAATATACTTCTAAAACGCCGATATTTATGGAAAAGCGTCGCTTTAATTCAATCGACTTCACTGTGTGACTAAAAGCGCCAAGTGATTGAAGCGTTAAGAAAAGTATAACGATAAAATGTAAATCGCATGTTGGTCTGTTTTCACTATATTGCAACTACCACTCGGTTACAGCCAATTGCATGAATCTCGACAAACGTTAAGAATTAACTAGTTGACGGGGAATAACTTAAATACGCCACACATCGCTTGTAATAAATTGAACAGAAGCGTAGGGGATAATAGTCGGTGGACTGGAAAAAACATGGGCAGACAACATCTACTATGCTAGATACCGCGAATTTAGCGGTAGTTGACTTCATAAGCAAAGCATCATTGCGTTACTCAAATGCAACGCCTAGCGCTTCTATCCACATGTGCATCTCATCTTGTGATCTTGCCTTACACATGAGCAATTTACTGCTTTTGCCTGCAGACGTAGAGACAGAAAACTCACAAGTTGCTTCACTGAGTTTCTCTGCTCTCGTCACATACGCTCGACTAAGTGGTACAGCCCAAGCATCTTCTGTATCATAGATTGTAAACATATTACCCTGCATCACGCAGAAACGTGCTCGCTTCGATTTACGATCACCCACTTCAAGCCAGCCACTTTTATCGACAATATTGCACTGTAAATCCAACTCGGAATCTGAATACCCTACGGAAACTGTCGACGAAGCAGTACTTGTGGTACTAGTATTCAAAGACTCCTGACGCTTCGCAAGAGCTGCGGCTTCATTTAATCGATCAATCCATTGCCTGCACAACGTCTCGTTCTTTGCACGAACATCGATAATCTTGCCGCTTACAGCGTATACTTTAAATGCAATCTTTGATTTCTGAGAGATTTCAACGTGAGCAACACGTACAGCACCAGCAGGTGTCGATTCGCTCTTTGTTGTAAAGAGATTATCGCCTTGAATTGGCATTAATGATGATTCAGAGACAAATTGATCAGTAGGAAACGTATCGTAATACGTAAGCAATGCACCGTCAAGCACAAAATGCTGGTTACGCCACTTGGAAAACCGACCAGTTTTTTTCCAGAGCCATCCGTGAAATTTTTCGCCTGACGTTTTACGACCAAAGTGCATAGCTGAACCTTGTGTGCTTTGTACAAGCATTTCAATGTCTACATTCAATCCAGGAATAGTTACACCACCATGATTGCGCTCATGTCCAGGGTGCGCTGAGTTATTGCGATGGTTCATGTGCTTCACTCTCTGCTTTCAAAACGCTGTACCTGTTGCTATTGTGCTTCAAGCACACGATAACCGTTTCGTACAATACTGCAATGAAAAGAGTATTCCTCGCCTCCTTGTGTGCTCTGCAGTCTCTACCAAAGTGAAAGATTGTTTAAGTCCGCGATACTCCAGTAAAAGTCAGTTGATGAACTGGCTCTGTGTCGTTTACCTACTCCCTTCTACTCTTTTAAGACCGCTTTTTGCAATTTACAAGCATGAAAAAAGAAAAGCCATTTCCCCGATACTGTAGTAGTACATGATGTCTCGGTATATTGTTCTCGAGGCTTTTCAGGAAAGAGAGTGGAACCTTGAGTTTCGAATGTTTAAGAATGTTCATTCTACTACTACAATCAATTGTTAAAGAGCAGTCGTTCGAATTAGAAATGCAGCTGAAAGCATATTTGCGATTCAATTGGAATGAAGTGACCCGTTGACCGTAAAGTTTAAGAGTGCCACAGTCTTTCCAAAGAACTGTGGCTGTCCTATACAACGGTACACCGTTGCGAGACACAAGCTGACGTAGTCACTAAACAGTCCTGGCGATGACGATGCCTATAGGTGCGAGTAAAAGAGAGTCGGAGACGAGAGGAAGGACGCAATGAGCAAAGATGAGTAGAGTGGACAGAGCTACATGGGTGCCCATCGCGTGTAAACATTTGCATAGAACGCTCCTGTGCTATGGTATGACATAACGCAGTTTTGCTTTCTATATATATTTTTGAAGTTCAAGTGCTCGACTAGTTAATAAACCCATGGATCATTCTATATCATAGTTGTGTATATGTCAAGAAATAGCATTTTAGAAGCAAGTTTTAAGATCCGTCAGTACGTTTTATACCAAATGTTTGACTCGAAAGAGGAAAATGGACAAAAACGATGGTATGATCACAACATACCAGTTACCGGTAAGTTTAAGACAAGAAAATTGTATTGTCGTATTTAATATTTCGCAGTTGTAATATTGTAATTATTTTCATTGGATCGACACTGTCCAGCCAGAATTATCTTCAAATAAAACGCTTCGTTATTTCGTTAAATAATGATTGCGCTCGTTACACTTCCAAACTCAGATGCTCAATAACGACCGCCATTACTTGGCTCACAATAACAGAAGAAAAAAACAGTCAGTAGTGTGACAGTGGATCTGCTTGCGATCTCTGACTCGATCTCACATCATGGGGTCTGCCCTTTTATAACAAAAGTGCGAATGTCTTGCTCAAAGAGCACCAAAAATATACAGTGTTCGTACATTTTTTAGGAAGTATAGCAATTGGTGCGTCTAAGCTCGCACAATGGAGTACATAGCTACATTGTTTGCTACAGACTCACATGTGTAAATTTGATCTGGTTCGCGTCACAAGCACTCCAATCGCTACGTCGTTTTGGCAGGTCAGTTGTTCAAACTACAGATGTGCTTCTTAACGGTAACGCCTTGTCTTCGTATAACTAATAAATGATATTGAAGGTCGATTTCCACTTTGTACCAAAACCTCGCTATTCCTGACATTCTGAGTGTCGAAGTATGATGTGTCGATCTCCAACGCAGTTTTCGACTTAAAAAGGAAATAGCCGTCAGCGCTTCTGCCTCATTTTGGTGGTGGGTTTATGGATTATAAAGATGTAAGATACGAAGCGGATGGTATCTGCGACGGTTGCCGCACACCTTATGCAGAAAAAGCTTTCGCTATCCGAGCCCGCGTAGCATACACGCCGACATACACTCGCATATACTCTCAGGCCATTCCAAGGGCACCGAGCTACGCCCTTTCAATTACCCAGGACTTAACATCGGATGATAATTGCTAGCTTAACTTCTGGAGATAAACACTTTTGGCTTCAATCCTGACTATTAAGTGAGGGTAAATGCGCACATACACTGTAACAGGATGACCACACCAAAAGTGTAATAAAAAAAATAGATTCTGTCTCAGGGGCTGTATGGGCATTAACTGTGCCAGGATAACTTCCTCAAATCCATACTACAGATGTAAGCTCTACGAGCGATACCTCTTTGGATTTTTTTAGGTTACTCTTTCCTTCATTTGGAAAAGACGTGGCTTCTGTGCTGACGTCATAAAAGTTGTTGTTCGATGATGAGACGGCATCGTGTATCAGTCAATGTGATCGATCGAGTCCCGACAGACCATATGCGCTGAATACGCAGACTACACGGCCATGTATATCCCTCCCAACGAAAGCAACTTGAACCTGTACGCATTCGCTATTAACTTTTGCATCTGCGTGAGTTGCGCACACTGTGATCGCTTTTCTATGCAGACTCCTCGCTACGAAGCTACGGCATGATCCAACTCATCACAAATAACTATAGTTAGCTCAGCGAGCAATGATTGCTTTTCTTCAACTGCATAAGTTACAGCCATGTTCAACGAGGTCAGTTAGCGCTATATGATGCTGTGATTATGGTCTCGCTCGATTGGATTCAGCAGAAACCGCTTGCCGCGTCATGACCATGCTCAAGAGATGCTTTGTGGGTACCTTCTAACCTCATTTGTGATGACTATTGCTTACGTCGGATTAGCAGCGATTATAATAATAAGTATCTTGCATGAGATCTGTGGCATCGGTAGGAAGGCCTAGCGATAGTGCCGAGAATTATATGGCGCATCCAAAAGTTCGCGGAAGAAGTTTCGCCACTATACCAATGTTGCGACTTAACAAACCAGCTTCAACGAAACAGACGTCATAGCTGAGCATCGCGTGATGCTTGACTTTGTGATGGACAAAATACGACATTGATGTACTCGCCGTCGCCTCCACATTGTGCTGACAGTAGCCGTGCTCGTCCCTTTGGCCTAGCAGTACAGCTATGGACGATATCCCTTTGCCGTACTTGCTGTTGCAAAGCACGACTCTGCCTTTTTAGGTAAAAAAAAATGGCGTGTTTGATAATTTGTGTCAACGACTCTAGGTCAATACTGACGGAATGATATATCAAACTTTGCTGATTTTTTGGGGTAAGAGTAGCTCTTTACCTGATTTTGATTACGCCTTTGAAGTCAACGCAGAGCCACAAAACGTATAACCTGGAGGTGAACTTGGCTTTAACTATCGAGCAGAGTCGATGAAAGGTGGATTCACTCTCAAAATTGGTTGAGACAGTAAAGTTACATCGTCTGATCTCGAGTGAAATCAGCGTGCACTCATTGCGGATGTTGCCATCTCTCTAAAATATTGGTGTTGCACAATCAGATGATTGCTCGACTCGCCCTGTGCAAATCAAACCCAAACCGCAATTCGGCGAGCAGAAGTCTATTGAGACGGTGCCTCGTCTTCGACAATACCTTCGTGGTGCATGGGGGCAGGATTGCAATATAGTAAATTAAGCTGAAATATGATAAAGGATATGCTTGCAATCCCTTAGATGAATGTAAGTCATTCCCTTTAAGCTATGACCGTAATGGGGACTCTTATCCATCCATTACTCTGCGGATACTGTATGTGTCGGTAGATTAATGGCATTTAATCAAATCTTAACCCCCACGTAAAATTTGGATGTGATTAATCAACTTTTAGCACTTTGTCGCATGATGCGTTATTTTGGAAGATGAAATCACCAATTTCGCTTTGAGGTGTAACCGGAATAATATTCAGCTAGTTCATAAATAGCGTCAACCCCCAATTCACCAAGATTCGAATCATTCTTCAAGATTTGAAAAATACGGGAGCTTACCGGACCATTTCTCAAGTGTGACAAGTCCGATGAGACATGCACTGTACTGCCCAGCGCAAAGTGAATGAGTGGTAGAATGTCTCTCCACGCTTGCAATATGGAGGGTATCCTTCACTACGTCATTGACGCGCACCTATCCATCGGTCTGTCGCTATCCCGCTGTGGATCAATTAAATCTGATGTAAAGCACTTTTAACAGGATAAAGAATGGACGAAGTAGGCGGCGAGGGTCTTATCTTTGACACGTTTCACACGTGCGCACATTTGAAAGGTTGTACCTATTTATACTTGTTGGGCTACTGACACATAGCATTCACTAAACTGTCTTTCTTTTGTCGACCAAGATGTGTTTCAAAAGAAGTGTCATGTGACCTGTATACTCTGTGTGACAAGATGATTCATTCTGTATAGCAGCAGAATCGGTACAAAGAAAAGCAGTATGAGCTCGCATGTGAGCGCTTTGAAAAATCAATATTTATTAATATGCAGGCATCCTTTTGCTTTCAGGAGCGCAACACTCATCAATTGTGAGTGTCACAAAAGTGCAACCGCCGCGCATTAAGCCGGCAAGAATTGTATCATACGAGCAAAGAAGAAAAAATATGTTTGTATTCGATGGTAGAGGTGTAGCGATAATATTGTCATGCAAGATGAAATATGATCCGAATAGATCACAAAAGAAATAAAATCGACTAGGGTTGTCTAAATCTGGTAGAAGCACACATGAAATGTTACTTTTTTCTTCGCAGGTTGTCTGAATATGATAAAAGCACACATGACTTCTTCTTCGCAGGTTGTCTGAATCTGACAAAAGCACACATGAAATGTAACTTCTTTCTTCGCAGAATTAAGCTGGTTCTAATATCGACTTCATCCCTATTAGTGTTAGCGTCGCGAACTATTAAAATTAATCAATACGTCAGGGCCTAAGTTGGACGCTTAAGGCTTTTTTTACTTCTTTTTATAAAATATTAGTATGGAGCTATGTCATAGCAGTGCAGCTCGCTCAATACTTGCGCAAAGAGCTGACCAAGATAAATTTTCGGGGATCCATTTAAAAAATGGTCTGGACCAACATCAGTGTTTTTGATCTGTGCGGGACCTGCTCAAAGGCCATGCCTACCAGCGAAGTAATCCAGAGCTGGAATCTCAGCAAAACGCAAGACACAACTTTTATCGTCATTCGTGATATGCTAGATTATGCGCATACACTAGAGCCACTTGTGACGGCTCACTTCGCATGTCTACCTCCTTATTTTGGCTCTGCACAACCATT